GAAGGTTCATTTGAATAGTTAGTTCTGCTTGCATTTGGCATTAATTTCTCTTATTGTATATACATTTTGTTTGTTTATTGTTAAGACAAAATGGTGGTCTTTTCGAAACCTACAATACAAAACTTTATGAACCATGAAGACAATATCGATCCAATATTTTACGATTGGATTATCCTTTTCCAAGGAGTTTAAAATTTTTGAGGTCTCTGCTGTTAAAGAATTAGAAGGCATTCAGGGAATGTCTCTTTGTCGCCTTTTTAAGCTTCTAATACGTTCAATGGCCAATGTGAGCAACTTTCATTCTCATTTCATATAATTACTCTTAACTTTTAACGACAAGAATGTATTTTGCATTTTACAAATAGAAAATACGTTTGGAAAAATATTTTAAGAAAATACAAAACGCTTTTCTCAAAAAAAGTATTTAAATGCAAGATAAAAATAGGTATTTTTTATTTTGTATTTGCACTTGAAATACAAATGTTTCTAATAAATCTCTGTAATCCCAAAATGTAGCATCGTACTACAGATGGCGTTTACCGCGCCGTTTGTGGTATTAAGTAAAATTCAAAACGCTTTTCTCAAAAAAATATTTAAATGCAAGATAAAAATAGATAAATTTTGCATTTTAAATGCAAGTAATTCAAATAAATCACATCCCTGCTAACAACTCATTGAATGGTTGCACTTCCGTTTAAACTAAACTCATACTCATAATGGATGTTAACCGTTTGGATAGTTGAAATTGGTTTTGTTATCATATTAATTCATGACTAATATGTCTCTTTCTCAAACTATTGTCACTGAGTAAACTTCGTCATTTTCAACATAGCTATTATTCAATCTTCTCTGTTGGCATGAAAGCATACTTTAGAACAAAATTGGACAAAGCTTACTGCTCGTATAAGAGACTCCGGAAATAGTTTTGAATAAGCTTAACATTAGTGGCTTATTAAAACTTTACTGGCTCTATTATTGTTTTAAAACGGGTTAACGCAGCAGAAAAGGCACAAACATTGATAATAACACAGCAGTTATACATTAAAACAGGGTATTACTGATTTTATTTTCAATTTCACGCTCCCCTGTTATTGATTTGGGTGCGTTCCAATATTAAACTTTTAACAGGAGTGTAAATATTGGAGATTGCATTAACACCATGCGATATGATAATGGGTACAAGGGGGGGGATGGTAGAAAAACCTCCCGTATTCCCAAAAGGGAAGTAGTTACGGAAACCTCCCATTTCTGTAAAACAAAAATCAAATTTTCATCTTATTCGTTAATATTAAATAATCCAATCTAAATTCAAATTTATTTTTACTCCCTCTAGTCCGAAATTCTATGTGGGTCCTTGGTTTAACCTTAAAAATATTAACCCACAAACGTAAAAATTTCCGAGGCTGTAGCACAACAAAGAAAATGTTATTTATGAGCGTTCTTATTACTGCACCCTTTTAAAAGCGTTCGTATCATGCAACTAATTAATTAATTAATTAATTTCCTTGCGTAATTAGAATTAATATAGTATTCAACAGAATAAGGAAAGCCATTATTATTTGAAGGTGGAGAAAGGAGTAATCCCATGTGGAAGAAAAGGGAGCCTCTTCTGTTTCATATGAAAGCATGGTCATTTCTTAAGATACATATTGATAGAAGAAGCTAGTTTTAGACATTTTGGTGTATACAAGAAGACTAGAATTAGGAGTAAAAACTATTAAAAGTCATAAATAAACACGTAATGCACGCAGCGAGACGTGTCCTGTCGCCTTTAATAAAAAGAAGTCACTTCTATGCTCGGGAACGGTCAATTTAGAAAATCGAAAAAGGTTGTTAAAGGTGTATGTTTGGACCACGGCATTGTACCGATGCGAAACATGGACGGTGGGCGCGGCGGAAAAGAAAAGGTTAGAAGCGTTCGAAATGTGGTGTTATAGGCGGATGATGAGGATAACGTGGGTAGAAAGGGTTAGAAATGAAGAGGCATTAGAAAGAATAGGAGAACGGAGGACTCTATGGAACTCAATAAAAAATAGGCGAGATGGGTTGGTAAGACACCTTCTCAGGCATGAAGGTCTAGTCAGAGACATATTAGAGGCAGAAACAGGAGTTAGGAGGGGTAGAGGTAGACCTAGATTAGATTACTGTACGCAAATAGTTAAGGATGTGGGCTGTTCTAGTTTTAGGGAAATGCGAAGTTTAGCTGAGGATAGGAAAGAGTGGAGGTACGTGTCCAACCAGTCTTAGGACTGACGACCTTATGATCATGATGATGTTTTTCATACCCATTGGTCTGGGGTTATGTTTTTAGTTTTATTTCTAGTCTTTTTGCATGTACGTATATTTTAAGCAATACTTAGAACGATGAGCGACTTTTACGTCGAGAAAAAAGTGTGTACATTAAGAATAAGTACCGAATAAAAATCGGTACATGACGCTTTACAGATTGGTGTTTACCTTACTTTTCTTACCAAATGCAAATAAACTGGAAAGATTAATGATGCAAACAGAGTAGTTAAAACTACAAATGCAAATTCCTTAAAAAATATAATGCACCTCTTCACTTATTATCGCATCATTTCTCTAAAATTTAAGCGAGTTTTTAGAAATACTACTGCAATCAAATGTTGTAGACAATTCTCATATTAAAATAAAAGATTCAATCAAAGAAAACAATCAATTTGATCTTATTCAGACTCGAGCCGGTGCTATTCCTTTTGTTTTATCGCTCTATTACTTAATCCACCTTGACTTCCTATATATCCATATATTGAAAATCATCAAAGCATCAAAAAATTTTTAAGTTTGCATTAATATAAGTCCTAAACAACGTAAACATATATTGAGTTTTTATCAAGGATTAATGTTTGAATTAAATAAGCTTTTACTTGATTATTTTCTACGATTCGAATGTTTGCAATATAAATGTAAAAGACTAATAAGCATTTATTTATATTGAATCCGTCATATGAGGTACACCCTTATTTTCGTGCAAATAACCGTACAACGTCCCTTAATATTAATAAATATGCAAATCGATTTTATCCAATTTATTACGTTTATTTTGTAATTATCCATGCACCATACACAGGTAAGGTAAAACGTTCATCGAACATAAAAATTAAAAACTTTCTTGTCGGAATTTTTATGAAATGATCTGCGGTTGTCAGTCTACTCATTGATTCCGGTCAATTGGCAATTCTATTCATACTTGGATATAACAGACATTCGGCATTAGCAAACACTTCCGAATGGAAAATTAGCAAATCGTATCGGTTGTAACGAACTAATATTAATCAGTTTTGATTTACTTTTTTGATATAATTTCATAGTTTCATACACTTGTGAAAATAATATTCCACAAAAGGGGGGTTTTCCCGAAATGCTTAACACAATAATTGCAATTTATATTCAATAAGAAATTCGTACTTTCAGTGAACTGCATACTACGGTTTCCGGTGGAAAGAAAAAGCTTCTAAACCATTAAAGTCATCAAGGACTGTCGATTTTTAAATGCCAAATACTTTGAATGGATTCAAAAACATTTCGAATTATCGTGAATGAAATGATTGAAACTTTTCCAAAGTATCTAATGGCCCAAGAACTGAACTATAAGATTATGAATTGGTCGATGGACCTTTTCAAAAGAAGAAAATTCTAATTAAAAAAAGCATCTTCAATCGTGTCCAATTTCTCTTTAGTATTTACCTAACTAGCAGCTTGCTTAATTACATGTTATTGTGAATGGAAAGTTATTATTACTTTAGGCAATTAAACATTGGCTCTAAATCAGCATTGGTCCATTAATAAAATAGACAACTAATATTTAATATCACTAATTTTTCAGATTAAAACAATCACCAGCCCTCACGTAGTGATCAGAATCTTAATGTTCTTAAAAAAATATAATACAATTTTATAAAGAAATGCCGAGAAAAGCTTTTCAAACTTCAAGATTTGATTAGTTGAAATTTTGAAAGAATGAAAGAAAAGGAATAAAAGGAGAAAGAAAGGAAAAATTATTTGAGAAATTACCTTTTTGAGTTTCAGTGAACCGTTGACAATATAGATTATAGACATTAGACGTATTACCGTTATTCTTGCAACTAATCAAAGACATAAGACGTAGAGAAAAAACAACGAAGTCAAAAGTAAAGTAAAATTGGTACCTACGTTTGATTTACCCTTCCCGGTCAATTTATGTCATTTTAAAGAAGTTCGGGAATTACACTGTCAAAGAAATTCGTTTTGGGTAGTAGTAAATAGTTAATTCTACCAGACATATCTGCAAAGTTTGATTGAAAAAAATTGACGCTATACAATAATAATTAGATGAAAAATAAATCGTTTTCCATCATTTGATAGAAGCATAATTTTTAACGGCTTTAGAAAATTAAACTTTTTATTTTTTATTACTAAATCCTAAATCTAAACTTTTGTTTTGTAAAATTTGCTTTCCTCTGTGTATTAATTCTGTTCACCATTATTCCCTTAATATGTCGATCAGAAATTAAAAAGTCTTTTATTTTTAAAAAATTACCAGCCAACGTTTCGACCTAAGTTGTTGGGCTTTCTCAAGACTAACAGTTTTCTTAGTCGATGAGATTTGGTAACTAACTAAATGGTTGTGTAGATAAAACAATAAAATAAATAGAGGTGCCGACTTTCGTAATTATGTTTAAAGAATTAGAATAACAATGAAGACACATAAAACCAGAAATATAATTCGGCTTTGAATAATATTTGTTTTATTCTTTCAAAATTTCATTTACAATTGAATTTCTGTGGCTCGAACTTCTATAACTTGAATATTTTTTATTTGACGATGAAGCAGAAAAAAAAAATTTTGATACATAAAATAGAACCTGCAAATTGTCTAACAAAGAAAAAACTTTTCAAAAACTTTATAGGGTATTTCCCTCCAACAATAGATTCAAATAAGAGTTTGGAAAAATATAGTAGATACTTTTGCATGCAACATTCACTAACGTCAAACTTACGCAAATAGAGACGTTTCCAAAGTGTGAGGAAACGTAAAATTTTCACTTTCGATAATGGCTTATTGATAAGGGAAACAATGTATTCGAGTGTCGTGAAGTGGGCGATTTAGGACGAAACGGTCTCCAAAGAACGGCATCCACGCACGCGAAAATGCAACTAGTTTTCAAACACCACGCGCTACAGACGCCGACGCTCGCATTATAAAAGTTTTGACGCCGACGCCGTTAATATCCTTTGATAAAATTGTAACAGCGCAAAAGATAACGCATCTTCTGAAAATACAGGTAAAGGATAATCTTCAACAAATATTTATTAGATAGTACTGCTATTTTTGAGCACGCCTTAACCATACTCAAATTCTCATCTTAAAACCAAAAACTGACACTCAAACTTACATATATTTTTTAACTATTTAATCTTCTTCCTCTGTTTTGTATTCGATTCTTTTTAATCAAAGCAATACTGGAGTTTCAATTTATTTTATTAAAAAAAACACAGCCAACGTTTCGTCCAGGTCGTTGGGCCTTTTCAAGGCTACAATGAAGTGTTATTAATACATTAATACAAACTGAGCCACAATTGATCCTTTTGTTCTTTAAAGCTTACCTAGTGTTATTCAGTCAAAAATGTAATACTGTTCGAATTTGGTCGAAGGACATGCTCAGAGATCTACAACTATTAGCAAACATTCAGCAAAGAATTCCTTCTGCTTTTTAGTTTTGGAATGAGTTCGTTGATCTTGATGTACCTTTTGTAGAAATTGGAAGTCATCAATTGTCCATCAAAGTGACTTAGCCAGCCGAGGAATGTCTCATTAGCTTGATTGTTCATTCTTCTTCTTCCCCATTTTGTATTCAATTCTTTTTGATCAAAGCAATAGTGGGGTTTAAACTTATTCCGCAGTCAAAGTTTCGCTTTCATCTTGTACAAAAGGGACATCAAGATTAACGAACTCATTCCAAAACTAAAAAACACAAGGAAGATTTTGGCTGAATGTTTGTTGATCTCTGAACATGACCAAATTCCATCAGTATTACAGTTTTCACTATGTAAAACTAGGTAAGTAATAACCTTATTACGCTGTTAGAAAAGGATCTATTAAAAAGGGCCGTGTTGAACATTTTTGAATCCCACAAGAAGTAGCAAAGCAACAAACGGCGTTCACTTCGCTGTCTTTACTCACTCACAAACCATGTTGACTTAATATCCGGCATTCTGAAGTCAACTTGAACTGAGCGGCATGAGCTAGAGGTTTAGATCATTGCTTGGTACTCGGGAGAGCCAAACTTTTCTGTGGTTTCCTTGGACCACCTTAAGATAACAGCCTAAAATTTACAATGAAATATTCCCAGAGCTTCAGAAAATTTCGACATCTTGCCTCGACGATGGCTAGGCAGGAGAACAAGATCCCAACGTCTTGCCCCTAGACGATGGTTGGGAAGAAGATAACGAACTGCCTCGATGAAGGCTAGGCACGACCAGAATATCCCAACATCATGTTTCAATGATGGCCAGGAAGAAGATAATGACGTCCTGCTTCGACGAAGGCTAGACAGGAGAAGAAGATCCCACCGTCTTGTCTCGACGGTGGTCAGGGAGAAGATAACAAACTGCCGCGATGCTAGGCAGAAGAAGAATATCCTAACATCATGTCTCAATTATGGCTAGAAAGAAGATAACGACGTTTTGCATCGTCGAAGGCTAGGCAGGAGAAGAAGATCCCAACATCTTGTCTCGACGATGCTCAGGAAGAAGATAACAAACTGCCTCGATGAAAGCTAAGCAGGAGCAGAAGATCCCAACGTCTTGTCCCGACGATCGCCAGGAAGAAGATAGCGTACTGTTAAGACAAAGACTAGGCAGGAAAAGATAGCTCTTTGCTAGAGGCATGATTATATATTCCAAACCTCTGTCTTCATTTTGTCCGTTTCATTCCTTTCATCCTAACCGCTACCCCCCCATTCCCACATTCGTGTGTAACTGGTGGGAATAAAATACCCAACAGTTTTAGTCAATTTAGACCATTGCTTAGCATTCGAGAGGGCACCGGTTCGATTCTGAGTCCGTCTGCTCTAGACCAAGTGTTTCTGTGATATCCTTATTTCACTTAGGCAATTGCTGGGGCAGTAATATTCCGCAGATCATCTTTCAGTCTCCTCATCTTTCTCACCCCACCTACCACCCACCCATTCCCACGATTCCTAAAAAAAGGCTGAAGTCCGGAGGGACTGATCACCCATTAGTATTAGTGGCTTATAGGAATATATCACCCAAAAGATAAGTTTCAGTCAAGTTGATGAAGGATGATAATGCTCTGCTTAATTATATCTTCATTGTATACTGCTACTTTTTAAACTTTTGAATTGGCGCCAGTTTCGACATACGTGGATGGCTGGCTAAATGGATTTAGTTTTCATGGGTCATATGTCAAACAATAATAAGAAAAATAAGTGGAAAACAGATGGAAAAACATGGAAAACCTCAGGAAAAGCAACAAGGTGACAGTGTGTCAATGTACGAACTAGCATTCTAATGTGAGTTATTTGATAAAGATTTAAAGAAAAGCTAATACTCCATCATGTTAAGTAAACCGCCATCGAAATGTTATTTCTGAGTATCATATTCACCTTACTGTCATACCTAACCTTAACTTTAAGTGAAGCAAATAACAGTAACTCTTTATTCAATCCTCGAGGCCCCCTTGTGAAGTGTTCTTTTTTACCATGGGAGTTTGTAGATTGCAAAGATCCAGTTGATCATAAAGGCAACAAAACAGCCAAGGAGGAGCTTGGCTTTGGATGTGTAAAATTTGGAGGAATGCGATGGGAAGATGTTGAAAGAACAAGAGTAGTGTGTGTTGTATTAGATAAAATAGAGTGCTACGGAAATCGAACGTTTTTTAAAGAAAATGTGCCTTGTGTCAAATACTCGAACCAGTTCTTCACTACCACATTGTTATACAGCATCTTGTTGGGTTTTTTGGGAATGGATAGGTTTTGTTTGGGACAAACAGGTACAGCTGTAGGTAAATTATTAACCCTTGGAGGTGTAGGTATTTGGTGGATAGTTGACATAGTGTTACTCATAACAAACAATTTAACACCTGAAGATGGTAGTAATTGGAATATCAACGTTTAAACAACAGAAACATCTACACTATTGCTGCTTCCACAAAGTGAAAAAGCTTAATGTTTTGCATTTTCTTCGTAGTTAATATTGTTAAAAGAAGTAAGAAATGCTGTAATTTTATAAAGGATTACTTGAATATTAAAATAAGTTAGACATAACTTGGAAGCACTGTTAAAAATTAAGTATCCATTTGATAACAACATTAAGAAGAAAAAGAAGTAATAAAACTGCAATATTCCCATTCTAGTGGTAATTGTAAAGCATCCATCATTTTAGAGATATAATATGATTAGAAACTGGTTGAAATTGCAAATACTGATTCAATCAAATATAGATCCTCCTTTTTGTATTTATAAATTTTAGTGTTAACAATATGAGATTCTACAAAACTTATATCATAAGAAAATACAATCAAGTTTTGTAGTTTATATCAGTATGTACAAGGGCCATTGTGAAGTAAAGATACATGGAATTTGCTCCAGATTAAATTGAGTATCATATTTTTTATAACATACTGCTGTAATAAAAACTTAAGTTTTCAAAAACAAATACTTTTCTATGTGACTTATTTTTATGAGTAACATATGAAGTAGGTATAGTGCTTAAAAGCAAATAGCAAAACGTAAAAAAAAATCATTTTCAAATAAAATCAAGCCTCTGGAGCAAATTCACCATACTTACCAATGTTTTTTATTTATGAAGTTCTGTGTGCTTTCGAGTTATATTTAAATTAAAATGAAAACGTGCCTTAGTTTTCCTGAGAAATTATCACTCCAATACATTCACTTTTTTTGTATATTATCTGTTTTATATATGTATATGTAGTTATGAATTATGAAATTATTATTTATCTGCTAGCAGTTTTCATTGACACAGTTTGCATATAAGAATAAATACGGTTTCAATATTTTTATTATTAACTGCAAATGTTCTTTTGTGATAAGCCAAATGTAATATGTAAATAAAGTTGTTTCTTTTTTAAGAGATTCAAAACTTTTTTTAATAATAAAACGAAAATCAAGGTATTTTAAAAGTACATTTTATTCAAACTAATATTACATTTAAGATGAATTAGAATTTGGTCCACGACGACGTCCAAAGGTTGCTACAACATTCACAAATCTTCGATTGTACTGAATTCTTCTCTTTGCACGACCAGTCTTCTTCTTTTTCTTTTCTTGCTTCTCTACCTTTGGAGTTTGACCTTTCACTTTACCTAAAAGTAAGCATAAGTTATATTAGAAACACATCAGCATGGATAAACAGCTTTAGATCTATTGGTACAGAAGCAGATCATGCATGTTTTTATATTTGTATGCAACTTCCTTGAATAGTAACACAATTTTAGTGTTACTACCTCAAACAGTCCATATTATTATTCTAGCAAGATTCTAGGAAGTGTTTTACTATTATTAAGTAAAACTCTGCTGGTACTTGCACAACTTAAAAGTAGAATAAGTAACTGCTGTAACTATTTACCTGCACGAGCCAAAGATCCATGGACTTTACCACCCAGCAGGCCAACATTCAATTCAATATCTGCTTGTTCAAAATCTCGTACAAAACTGTCATCAGAAATAGGAGTTCCTTGTGAGTATAAACGGATTTCTGTAGCCTGTAAATCTTCTAATGCAGCCAATTTTGCCTGAAATAAAAATAAAACATAAAAGAAATCACAATAGCAGTCGACAAAAGAAACTTACTTTTATTTGATAAAAAGTTTCCGTTCCTTCGCATTCCAGAATGTGTTGACTTTGACCACGAATGTGCAATTGCATCTTGATAACTAAAATAAATTACAATGTAATATTTTCATTTTACATTAACTCTAATCGCCATGCTAAATGTAACCAAAAACTAAGCACGTGGAGCAGGTTGAATTACATACGTTAAAAATGCTATCAAATTAATTTACTATTTGTTGTACATGCAAACTAAAGTGTAATTTGTAGTAATAATGAAATTAATTCAGTCGAATTACCTTTATTTTCACAATATTTTACACAATTTATGACTTCAGTAAGTCGCCATATGTGTTACACCATAAAGAAACAATACCGCGAAGTTAGCAGCTGTCAAATTTACAAACTGTCTAAGGTCTAAGATCATATTTCTAAGAAACTTCTTTTTGATAAAGTTGAAAATTTTCTAATCTGAAATGGAATTACTAGATTTCTGAAGTATAAATACATCAATAGATAAAATATAGGTGTAAAGCTTTCATAATTATTAGTAATACTATCGATACCATTAGCGTGGTGATACATGAGATACAACTTGGATGTCAGTAATTTTTGAAAAGAAGAAGAGTTCTTGCCCTAACCTATAAAACTCTCAAGTACATAACCTGCTCATATTCGAAGAATATAGTTCAATAATTTTTAGTTGAATATTTGAAAATGTCTGACGGTAAGATTTTACAATTTTAACAAAAATTATGACTGAGTAAAAATCATTCTTTTTTGTATAGAAGAGGTAATACGGCGCCGTTTACTCATTGATGGTGATGGAACTGGTGATGATAGAAGACTTAACGTTTTCTTAAAAACCATAATAAAATGGGCAAATAGCATTGATGAATCCCCAACGGAGCTTCAGCTTTTATACGATCGTCTTCTTGCTCAGTTAAGTCAATGCGAATTTGCAGTAAAAAGATCTCAACGTTTAGCTATTACAAATAGTAAACAACTTGAAAATTACAAGGAACTTCAATGTAAGTTGGAGGAATTAATTAAGGATGTAAAGGAAACAATAGAACACAGTAAAAACAACTTAATGCAAGCAAAAATACTCAAACAAAACAGAATGACTTATGATCTTCTTGCACAAAACATAAAACAACAACCTGCTAGAAAGGAGACAAATAAGAGATTGGAAGAATTAAAAATTGAATTAGGACAACTCCATGAAAACAGTAAAAGTCTAGAAAATAAGTTGGATATGAGAAGGAAACAATTTCATGTTCTTGTTTCAAGTGCCCACCAACTTAAAGAGATGTTGGAAGAAAGTGCAGCAGAGGACTCAGCTAATAATTCTCTAGATGATATAACAAACAGTCCTGGGCCAGAACCAATGTCAGAATAATATTAAGCTGTTTCTTGTATTCTACTGTTAAGTATATATCATGTGTGTGAATGAAAAGTAACTTTAGTTTTGGTTGCTGTATGTGATTGAATTTGAGTTTATTTTATACCCTAATGTGTAGTATTTGCTACAATAAAATCCTCACATTATTTAAATCATCACTTTTTTATTAAGCATGCACAAATCATTACAAATGTAAAATGAAAATTTGAACACTTTATCTCTTCTGTAGATTACAGAGTTTTATTTTAAGCACTTTTGGTACATGTCTTATTGTTAAGGATACCCTTGTCTGCCTTTCTAATACCTGACCAATTTCATACTTCTCTTTACATAAATCTAAATTAACTATTTCTCCTGTTATCTCATCTCTTTCCATTTCCCTGATTCCGTGTAAATATTTTATGTAAATTTTATCAGTAAATATAACTAAACTTCTATTTTCTAAAAGAATATCACAGACTTTTTCTCTTTTATCATTATTTTCTAGAATTTCTAACATGGTATGTGAACCACAGCTTATTGTAGTAACCATGGAATGAAATAAAGGACCATCAGTGTGTGGCATTATTCCCTGATTTGACAAATATTCATTAACTAATACATGATTGGGGCTTTTATCTCCAAAGATATTTAAATTAGTAACTTTATCCATATAAACTTGCAACCATGAAGGTATATCTTCTACAATCATACCATTTTTATGGGGCACTCCACCATAGTCTTGAAGCCTTCTGTGAGATAAGGAAGTCCACTTTGGCTTAGGTACAGAGTATACATTTTTTAAAATATGCTGTTCTTCTTCTGGAGTAATAAAATCTGGTATGTAATAGACTGTGGGAGGTATGTTTTTAATTATATGCTTTTCTAACTGTGTGTTCATTTTAAATAAAATAAATTTTTATTTATTCACAACACAAACATACATTTTTCTAACCAATTTATAAATTAGAAAAACAAGACTGAATTTGTAAATTGGGTTGCCTATATGCGTACCATAGAAATTGCCTAAAATATTGTTCCATTAATCTAAAGCAGTGGCGTACATATTATATTTAAAATTAAAGCTCTTAAAATTGTTATATATTATTAAGCAAATGTTTAGAACTAAAACAAATTGTAATTCCTGTTTCGTAAAAAGTTCTTCACTAAGACTTAAAAACTGTATTTTAATTAATCATTACCAATGATGAATGGATAAATAAATAAATACTTGCATGTAAAGGTCAAATATTATAAAGTATATTTTAAAGTTTAAATATTTACAATAACAATAGTCTTTACAGTTATTAAAAGGGTCTGCTTTATTCAAACAAGAATTTCAGAGGACCATTTTGAATTCTGCCGTTTTTTGTTTTTATTGATTGTTGCTGAAACGCAAACGCGTTCTGGAAAAACCAGAGTTAGTACAGTAGTGATCGGTGTGCAGAAGCAGACCGGGCGAATGTTTGCCCCCTAAGGGGCCATGGGGTCTGCTACAAGCAGAGACGAAGGCGAAGATGAGCCTGAAGACGACTTAGTTCGTAGGAAATCTAGTAGAACATCTGTAAGTAATTTGTTTTTCCTACAAGTTTTCTATAAAAATGTATATTTTATTAAAGTCGACTATAAATTGCGAAAAATATTCAGAATAACTGAGCTCCTATGTTTGGCTGTTTTTTTTATGTTTTCTTGAGGAATTTGCCTTATTTGGTTTCTAATTTAGGATGTTTGTAAAATCGATTTTAGATTTCATGAACAAGCACTGGTCATTGTCAGAATTTGAAAAACAAAGGACTTTGTTTTGGTTCTAATTTTAGCTCCATTTTTTTAATTAATAACATTTAATGATAACGAAGAAAGATAATTACTCTTTATTATGTATGTATTTTTTATATTTTTGGCATGATCCTCAAACAAAAACATCGTAATGTTTGATACCGCTAGATACCGTTTTGTGCAAAGCATAGTATTTAAATGATCAGCTGTTTGATTTCATTCGTGTTATAGATGTACCGTATCGATAAAATATTTGCTAATATACATAGCAAATTTTTAGCCTGAAATATGTACATGTTAAATTATTGTGTACATATTTATTTTAGATTTATTGAAAACATTGGTCTTTAATAATTTAATTTTTTAGCTTTTGTGTACTGGTTATTTTTTTTATTTTTTATAAGTAAAAAACGGCTGCGCTTTAATAGGGGAGGTTTGCAATGGTGCAGTTTTTTACCATCTAATGTCAGTAGGTATGCAGATAATTAATTAAATTAAGATTTATTTTTGGACCTGTTTTGCTCTTTCGTGTTGCCTTTTACTTATGTACTTATAATCCGAAGCAATCAAAGAAAAGCGTTGTTGGATTTGGTTAGATTGTGTTACGATAGGAAAAGGTGGTTTAATAAATTAATTATCAATAAACTTCTCACATGAACTTTTGATTGGCGAGAAATTTGAGACCTTTTGACAAGCTCTAAAAAACTGCATCTTTTCGATCTTCAAATACTAAAGTCCTGTTTAAAAACAACCAAATCATACGTTTGTACTATTTTTAAAATATTAATACAAATCGTACGGTGGTTGTTGTTTAGAATAGGAATTGTAACAGGCCACAATTTTATCGTTACGGTACATCTTTATTCAGTTTGCCTGATGACGTAGTGACAAGAGTAAGAGCCGATCATTTATAAGTCAATCTAGTGAATTTATATATTTACTACAGGCGAGTATGATCAGTTAGATGCTTTTGCGGAGACGCAGTATTGCGTGGTGGTAGTGGATAATGTTAATCGGTATTTAATTTGTTACTTATTGGGCTTGAAAACAAGCTGGTGCTGTGAAAAGATTTGCAATGTTTGGATCATATGGTCTAAACGTTCCTTAGTTTTAATTGGTCGATAGGTCGGCTAAAAAGACCCGCCTGTTTTGAATTGTGTAGGGAGTGCTGTGATATCTTTTTTATTTTATAAAATGTCTTCCGAAAACAACAAACTACCTCCCAGACCACCAAGGAGCAGGAAAGTCAGCAGGGTCAGTAGATTTTTTCAATTTTCCACTCGATTAGTTTTTGTCTGTTTTTGCAATATAAAATCGTCACCTTGAAACAACACTGACACACATACATACATATGTGAATGTTTTATATGTCCATTATTATTCCTTTGGTATGCGATGTGTATATATTAATTATGCACAAATTTATATTTATGTATGTACTACAGCATTTTTTGTTTCGTAAGCTGATTTGATGGACTTCATTAAACGTATTGAGAAATTTATACGAAGTGCATCGCTTTTTACCTTTGCGTATAATATGCATTACGAGAACATTATTTTGCCCATGAAATGAAAAGCTCTTAGCTAACGTTGTTTAACATTTAGATATTGAGAACGTATTGCATATTTACGTAATTCAGAGCGAAAATATAATAGAGCGAAATGCATCCCTCTGGGAACCATTCGTAATTTAGGGATTAGGGATTGGTAGTGGGGGTGAGAAAGATGGGACGGACGAAATGAAGACAGAATAGGGGCGCATTATTTGTGGTATATAACCACCCAACCATTTGCCTAAATGAAAACATAAAAAAAAAAAATGCCTAAATGATCAAAGGAAGTCATACAACTGCTGATTGCTTGGCAATGATCTAAATCTCTAGGTCAGTGGTCGGCAAACAGTGGCTTCTTGGCTTCACCTGGCTCTTTGACTCCTTGAGTGTGGCTTAGCTGGAGATGCGAATTATGGCTATGTCAGCTTCATTCAAGTATCACTGTCGGCTACCAAGAGAAGGAAGATGTGGAGTTATAGCAGGATAATGAAAATACTGTACATGAAAAAGAAGAAAGTGTTGGAATGAGTAGAAGGATCGTTTTTGTCCTACTCCTTGCGTTGTGGAAGTCAGCAAGGAAAGGGAGAGATAGGACGGTGGAACACGTTCTGCGACATGAGGAAGACCTCAAACTATCGATGGGCGAGTAGTCCTTCCAGACTACGTCGAAGGATAGGGAGAATGGCTCTCTTCAGTCTCCCTTTATGAATAGTGGGAATGGGTGGGTTGTTGGGATGAGAAAGGTGAGATGGCCGAAATTAAGACGGAAGAGAGTGAACGATTATCTGCGAAATATTACTGTCCCCAGTCTGTAGTGATCCAAGGAAACCTCAAAAAATTCTGAACCAGAGCAGTCGGATCCGGAATCAAACCAGTGTCCTCCCGAATGCTAAGCAACAGTCTAAACATCTAAGCCATACCGCTCGGTGTCGGACTGATAATGAGCAGATGATTATATACGTGGAAGGTACGTAAACTAACTATCAGATTTATGTAGTATGAAAGCAAGATCTTGTTGAACCCTTTGGCACAGGCGGGATCTATATAATCGCTGCCAGGCTTCTCAGGACATACGCCATTCACTTATCAAGGTGCATCTCCTCTTCTGCAACATGCGCAGTGTAGCCACTGCAACGACAGGGTAGGCAGGAGGATTTTCCATCTGGAATCCCCGAGTCTGATGGGCGGGTAGTCCGAGCAGGGTAGGGCGGAAGGCTCTCTTCAGTCTCCTTTTTGGTATAGTGGGAATGGGTGGGTGGTTTTTGGGGTAAGAAAGATGAGACGGGCCAAATGGAGTCAATAGAGAGTGAAAGATTATCTGTGGAATATTACTCTCCCAGCATTTGCCTAAGTGATCCAAGGAAACCACAGAAAAACTTGGACTAGGGCAGACGAATTCGGAATCGAATCGTTATCCTTCCGAATACCACGGTGGCGGTAGCTTAGGGTCTAGGAGAGAGATTTATTATATCTGGCTGATGTGGATATCAAATAGGGACATTTTTCCCAAAGGATTCGGATACATTTATTGGATATATAAACAGTAACCAAATACTGTATCCGGATACTTCGGCATTACCAGCTTTGATGGTAGCCAATAACTAATTACATAAGAGAACAAGAAGAATAAGAGGAATGTGGTAAGTAAATAAATTAAAACTGTCTTGCCCTAATTACCACAAGTAACTCTCGAAAAACCGGATGCGTGTTTTGCCTACTTTAGTTCTGGGGGAAACACATGTTCGCTCTTTTAAGAATTAAGTACTTGTAGCAATTATAGGAAGCGTTGAGACTCTTTTTAGTTTATTTACATAATTACATTTATTATTCTTCTTCAGGAAAATTTTTGATCAAAATGTGATGGAACATGAAAATTTATTTCCCGCATAAACAGAAATGTGTGTGATTACGATCGCAATTTTAGTTGATGACAATCGATTATGTTAATTAACATCCTTATTATCGAATTACATCTTCGTTTAGTTGATTGGTAAACGGTAATCCGGCTATCAATTAGTTAATTAATCTGTTAGTAATCGTTACACTGCAACTAGGTGGTATACATACAATTGTCTCATTTAAATTGATGGTAAGTGGGTGATAGGTAGATATTTTTTGAATAGTTTTTAAAATGAAAAATGCTCGTTTTTGTTATTGTTTATTAATAAATTGTTCTGTTGCTTACCGTGAAGTTCATGCCAGGTCTATATAGAGAAAAGTTGGGTAATTTAGTGTCTCAGGTGCGAATATTAACACAGAATATCACACGTATTTAAATTGGCTTGAACCACCGTGTAGAGCGAAATTTTCAAAAGTCAGAAGGAAATTTTGAAAATAGGTTGAAAAATTATAAAAAGTATCAATTTTATGCTTTTTGTGGTTGTAGTTTGTGATTTTGCCAAAGTATTGATAAAATCAATTGTTACAGTTTATATTGATTTGATTTATTATGTTTTTTTTTTTTTGAAACCATTTGACTGAATGTGATAATTTAATTATCAATACTTACACTAACAGCTAGGTAGTTTGTGGGCTAATAGTAACAACCATCTCTATATGTATTATACATATATTGTACCTACATAATCTTTGTAGATATGTATAGTATATTGTCAAGTATGCATTACTTCACAGTACTCGATAGTGGATTATTCTGCTTGTTTACATATTAGATTTTTTAAATATTTCAGAATGATTTAGAATACTTCAACCATATTAACCAACAACGACTAACCCATTTTAATAATTGGGTTAAAGATAGCGCGTTAATAATATTAACTGTTTGTTCATTGAAGTCTTGTTATTTGTGATGCAAAATCAATATTATAACAATAAAGTGAAATAAACCTCAATACTTACACTGATCCGCGTACGTAGTACATTGAAATAATTTTCTGAAAATAATAATCAAATTTAGTTTACGATAGGCAAATTTTTGAAAAAACTCCGTCAAATATTAATTGTACTCATTTTTATGTTTAATATAGTAAAAAATTACTTTTCTCAGAAAGACCAATTTTAATCCTAATTAATATTATAAATGCTAATGCGAGTTTGTTTGTTTGCTACCGTTTCACGCTTTAACTATACAACCGATCATCATGAAATTTTGTGTACACATTGTCAGGGATACAGAAAAGGTCATAGGGTACTTTTTATCCAGAAAAAACTATTTTTTTTGTCGAACAATAGAAAAATTACTTTTATGTCTTCTACGATACGTAGCTCAGCCTAT